CCTCGGGCGGCTGCACCCGAGGCCAGGCAGGGTTGAAGCGAGAATCCCGAGACCTCTCCAGCTCGGGGTGGAGGAAGGAAGAGAGGGCTGGAGGGGAGGCAGCAGGCGAGGGTGGGAGAAGTGCAGTGCGTTCATTCAGGACCGGAAACGTAGTCGTGCGGAGAAAGAAAGCTTTAAGCGCTGCCTCGAATCACGTGATTCTCAGGTCTCTGGGGGGCCTTGGTGGAGTTTGTTTGTTTGTTTGTTTTGGCCAACTCTGGGACAGATGACAGACCTTGGACCTTCAGGTTTGTGTGGGAGGTGCTTGACACATGCGTCTTACCCCTTGGCCTTAGCTCAAGCCCATTTCCACCCCTTCTGTGGAGGAGAGACACTGTGGGAATGGTCCTCTTCGGGTGATGCTGTTGGACCATATTGCTATTCAAGCCACCCAGCTCCCTTTGGGAAGAAGAGTACTTGGGGAGCGTATTTAAGCCACAGGCAGGTTAAGCGTTAATCATGCTGTGTCTAACGGGAGTAAGTCAGCACGTGATAAGACCTCAGCAGTGAATATAACAATTCATACCTGATGCTCTGCACTTCTAAGGCTGTCCGAAAATCAAGTAAAGCACTCTTCACTGACATGAAAAAGAATCTTGGTAGATCAAGGGCTAAAGAATACAGAACACGGAAGCCCAAAACTTCATGGGGTGTCCTGTAAACCACACACCTGATGGATAGCAGTATTTCTATTTTCAAGTTACTTTCTCCTGTTTTTCTGATCATTTGAAGCTTTAAGTCTGTCTTTGTATGTATTTTCATCATTAAATGACTCCTCTGCCAAATACTAGCTCCCGGGCCTCTCCCCTCTCACCGCAGCCCTGTTGTCCTCTCCTGTGCACACGCTCACTACCCACCTGACCTTGTGTTCCAAGTCAGTGACCAAGGGTGTTTGGCTTCACCCTTGTACTTTGCAGAGGGGTAGGAAGAGGTAGAGGAGCGAGAGAGGTCCTGAGTGCTGGCAAATCACCCACTTGTCGAAAGAGTGGAAATTGAGAGCCATTTGTCTTCCCATTTCTCTTCCTCCCCATCTATGGGCCTAGGAGTTTGGGAATTTTCCCAACATGTTTTATGAAGATACAGCCCTTTTCCAAAGTTGTGTCTGTTAAGATCTTGCAGGTGCTTTATTCTGCTATTGCAGTTATAAACAAATTGGAAAACACAAACCAATTCACGGATTGCTAAGATTTTGTTAATACCATCCATCATGCATATGATTTTATCTTTGAGTGCCCCATTTATTTGGAAAATCTGTGTTATTTCCATGAGTTCCAGAAGTAATACTAGCTTATAAAAAACATGAGCGTTTTAGTAAATTATCAAAAGAATCTCCTCCATTCCACTTCTCCATATTTGAGTTTGTGGCCTTCCAGTCTCCATATGTATATATTGCAGAAAATTTTCTGTCATTGTTTCAAAAATTGAATACTATTTCATATTATAACAGTGTCCAGAAATTTATTTTTCATTTAACGTTTTCCAGTTAATTCTGTCAGTAAATGAAGATCTTTTTTTCAATGGATTTGTTCCTTGTAGCCAATCAATGTCATTCTGAATATTCTCTTAGTATTACAAACATGATATTGTGACTATCTTTTTGTGAGTTCTGCTGAAGATAAATTCTGAGAGAAATGCTGACTCATGGGAGTATTCACTTTACATTTGACAGGTACTGCAAAGAATTTGTCTAAGTTCCCCCAGTATATTTACAGTGTTTGCAACACTGGATAATAAGATCTATTAAAAATGTTGACAAATTCGTTGTTGAAAAATTGATTAGTCAAATGTTGGTGTTTAGTATTTGAACGTTATATAAACCAGTCCTGGAGCATCTGACTTAGGGTGCTTGAGAATTTTGCTTTGAAAATGGGAAGGGAATGAAATAAGTTTCAAACTATCACTGTATTTTGGACTTGTAAAAGATGCTCCTGCATTTGTTACCATCTGCCCATGTACCACGAATGGCTAGAGAAGTGGTATATGATAAGTGAGACTTTCTGTGTTACAAACGTATGGAATATTGTTGGTTCAGTAGTTGCTGTTGCGATTTTGTGGTTCTTGATAACTGTTTTGCCATGTTCATAAAAGAGGACTCATATCCCTGGGATGAAAGCACAGTTTAAAAAAGAGATATCATAGCTTTGGATTCTTTAAAAGGAAACCCAACAAGTGGGTGTACAGTGTTCATCCTTGCAGAGTTGCTCTCCTTCTCCACCAAGTGTAGGGACTTACATCTATTGGTATTGGTCCTGCCACTCATAAATAGACCTAAGGAGTACTTCAGATATGACTTAGTATTTTATATGAACAAGCTGTTTAGAATTACATATGTACACCTTATTGTTTGTTTGTTTTGATTTTTTGAGATAAGTTTTCCTTATGCTAAACTCACTATGTAGCTCAGGCTAGCCTCAAACTCATGACCCTCAGGCTTTAGCCTCTGAAATGCTGGGATTGCAAAAGTGCACTACTGCACATGGCACTAATATTTAATACTCAGTATGGGCTAGGAAGTGTTTTGAGCAATTTATATGGACGTTCATTTCTATTTCTCATAATAATTCTATGCAGTTCATATTTATATTCTTTCCATTTTACAAATGGGAAAAATAAAGCAGAGACTAAGGTTGCACATTTTATACGGGACAGAGCTGGGGATTCAAGTGCAGACATGCAGCCCTAGGCCAGGAAATTCGCCCTGGCCACTCCACGTGGTCATGGGGTCATTACTGCATAAGGGTAGCCTACTAAGGGAGAGTGTGGGCTGAAACCTTGACCGCCTTCGGGTCAAACCATGTCCCTTGGCTTCTGGCTGAGTGTTCCCTTGGCAAGGCACTTTTCTAGGTCACAAAAAAAATGTTTAAGACCAAGAAATCTCTTGCTTCTAATGTATGATTTATAAGAGTAATACACATACACACACACACATATGTTTGGATGCTTCACCCTTTCAGTGGGTACACCTGGGAGAGCAGATCTGCCTGTCTATACTTCCTACCTTGTACTTTAATATGAGGTGACAGAGTATGTCCTTTAAGTGGCAGATTTATATGATAGCATCTGATGTTTTCCTGTGAACACCTTTGTTTTGATCAAGATGGTTTTCTGGAGAATGCCTAGGGAGTACATTTTTTTTCTTTTTGGTACACTCATAATCTTGAGCAACATGAAGGCTTCTGAGGATGAAAACTCCATGGGCAGCTGCATGGCTTATAAACCAAGAGCAGGCTTTGTTGTCTGATGACAAGGTTTATATTCCTGCCCATTTATTTACTAAATGGAGTATAGGTACTTGTGCAAGTTAGATCAATTTTCTCATTTTTGAAATGCATGAAATTATAATTCCTTATCATTGAGTTGGTGTGATAGTTGAGTATGCTAATCCATGAACCCAATAATTGGCATATATTGAGTACCCAGTATGCGCTCTCTGTTGCTGTTGTTATGATAGAATTCATTGAAAACACTGCTTGACTTATAGTACATTTTTAATAAATGTGAGCTGTTTTTATTGACTCAGTCTCTCTCAAGATTATTTATATAAACAAGGCACTTATGACTTTCAGAATTTATGGGCCCTTAGAAACCTGGCCAGCCACTCTAATAGGCCTGGGATATACAGTGATGAAGAAGATCAACTGTACCTGTCTTCATGGAGCTTTTAGCTCTGCGATGTAGAGAAAAATCGTCCTGAGGATGGTATAGCAGCTTAAAATGCGAGCTTTGGATTTGTTATGACCTATGCGCAAATTGTAGCTCTGCCCTCTGCCAGTAATGTGTTCCAGAATATGTTACTTAATATTCTGTGCTTTAATTTAAAATGCTATAAAGTGAGAATAATAGTTCTTACTCTCAAAGTATTCAGTGGATGAATTTTTATGTTGTTTAGATCAAATCCTTTAGTTGTTGAATTTCTAC